TGAAAAATATAATAAAAATTAAAAAGTTAAATTAAAAAATTAAAAATTAAAAGTTTACTTCTCCAAGCGCCCTCGCTTGACTTGAATCGTGCCAGCGAAGCAGTCAATGGCACTGTGAACATTCAACTTTTTTTTTCGTGCAACCCTGCGCTCGTTGAACGCAAAAGTTGAACGCAAAATCGCCTCGTGCAAACACCTTTTAACGCTGAAGATTATTATCGAAGGGCAATATTTATACCGCTATTGCATAATATTTTGCTCGATCTCCGAGAAAGATTGCCGAAAGAGACATTAAACATTTTTGATTTGAACTTATTACACTTCCTTCAAAAATTGGGGAATATAATACGCCTAAAATCGCTTGGAAAACGATACGAACTTTTCTTAGAAAAAAGACGTTATCAATTTGGAAGTAGAATATAAAGTGTGGTTGGAACGATGGACAAATAAGGAAAGCGAAAAGCCATTCCCAAAATCAGCAGCAGAAGTTCTTGGCATTCTGTTCACACTTCCAGCTAGTAACGCTACATCCGAAAGAAGTTTTTCAACCCTTCTTAAACTTAGATATTGAATTGACACTGAAAGGATAATAGAAAGATTCGCAAAAGGGAAGCGCAAACTTGAACTTGCAATTTAAATTATTACAATAAAAATTCTGAATAAGTTGTTAAGTTACTTAATTACATCCTACATTTTGCCAACATTGTAAGCAAGAAATAAGTATTTATATGTATTATTGCATTAATAAACCTAAGGTATAAATTTACATCTTTTTTTTTTAATAGTACAGCAATTGTTTTGTGCGCCATATTTAACAAAATGAAAAAATAAAAAATACTCGAACCTATATTTGCATGAAAAATAAATTAGGGTTAGATGCCTGTAATTTAACGTTATTTAACAAGTTGATCTCAATATTGTCAGAGTGCAGAATCCTTGAAGGAATGTACATACCTATGTGTCTGGAAAATAATTCGAGTCTAATTCTTAAACAAACTCAATAGCTATTGCCATTTTCGAACGAATTATAAAATTAAATTTTCCGATTACTTGTCTTTATAAACACTTAAGCATTTTCGATTTTTACTAAATTAAGTATGCGCACCTAAATCGGTATTCCCTTAGTTTATGACACCGAAAGCGAAAAAAAAAAAACAGTAACAACTCTTTAACCTTGGGATTTTTCTGTACATAATTGCAAAAAATCATTCACCAACACAGTTACCAAGCATTTTATTTGTTCATTGCGTTATAACAGCATCCTGTGCGGGTGCGTGCGCCTGCCTGCGCATACAAACACTAAAAGCCTGCTTCAAGTCTCGCATGTGCCTCATCATTGTAATGGCGTAATTCTGTAATGGACACTTAAATAGTAATTTCGTTTCCTTCTCTGCCACCACAATGATGCAACAGCGCATATGCTTGGCAAGCATGCTTTTGATGTAGCCGCCATTGTAAATATGTTTATTTGTTTACACTAGCAGCTACCGCAGAATTTTTAGAGTCAACACACATTCACTTGGCGGCTGGCTGTTGCATGCCACGGCATTCCACAAATGTTTACGGGCTGTAAATGTTGCCACATATATTTTCGCACGCTTTTTGCCATATTTCTCTTTTCCTCACCAATATGGCCCGCCTGAAAGCTAGAATGAGCTGTGAAAAGTTAGCTACACCCCCGCCTTCAGTCTGCCATCGCAGCAATTGCGAATAACAACAATTCGACAAGGACGTGCGCGGAATTGCGAAACCCTGTTACAGGAGCACCATGGCTGGTTGCTTTCATTTATGCCCCGTAATATGCAATTTTCTTAGCTTGTTTTTCGTTTACCAGGCTTTTAAATATGCGAATGCGGTGTGCGATTTTTTTTCTTCTTGTTTGCTGTTTTGAAAGAGTGCCAGGCTTTTACTTTCCATTGACATCAATTCTTGATGTGTTGATTTTGCATACAAATTATCAATTGCCAAAAAAGAAGGGAGAATTAGTATCGGCTCATCCCATACGGGTACAATTGGATATCGATATGTTCCTTTGCGATTGCACCCGGAGTCATCCCGAATTGGTCGCATTTTTTGCAGGGAATATACTTAGATACATATAGGTACTCATACATACAATATTTTGTATGGTTTTCATATGGTTGCTGCCTAGAAGCATTTTTAGCCATAATACTATTGGAAATCCAGAACAACAAGAATTATCAAAGTGAGCTTGCTTTTAGAAGTGAAGCTATCCTAGCACTAGCTTGTGCACGCGCTGCCGCCCTTTCCTTAGATTTTTCTTATTTGACACCCATCTAAAAATATTTCAGTTAACTTAATTAAAAACATAGATTTGAATTTCTTAACTGGTGGCAATCATTTCCAAAAATATTTTTAATATAAAGCTTACTTAAAAATTTTTTAGATCAAAAACCATATTAAAATAATTAATTTAACTACATCAATTTGATTTTGATTTTCAAACCAGGTGGCAACCTTCGTCAAAACTATTTCCGATTGATTTTGAATTTGAATTGAATTTCTAAACAGTTGTATTCAGATAACGGTTTGCATTTTGTATTTTCAATTTGTTACAAATAAAACAACATCTTGGTTATCAAATGGAAAGTATTTAAAAAAAAAAACCATTTCAGAAATATTTTTGAATACGGTTGCCACCTATTTTTTACCTAAAACTGTTTAATGTGGATATCAAATGAATTGTATTTTTGATCATTTAAATCCAGAAATATTTTCATTGAGAGTTGCCACGTTTATTTGTAATGCAAACTTTTATCTTAGTAATTTCGTCGAGTATATATGTACATATACATATGTATGTATACACACATATACACAAGAATATCGAGGGCTTATATTCAATACCCTCTATCTGCATTTTTCACAAAAATGAGATTCTGATATAAAAATCCACCCAAGACCTGTCAATCGGTAATGTTAATGCTGAGCTTGTATAACGATTGACAGAAGCACTTACTTTTAAATTGCAAAGTCAGAATTGCCTTCAGCGATGACAGATAAGTCCGAGTTGGGTTTTAACATCACAAAGTTGTTTTTGTGAAGAGTTTCGAGGTTGTAATTTTTTCCAATTGTCAAAAAAAACGTTATTTGTCACACTCAAAATACCGTACAAGTTATTTGTATCATCCTAATATCTAAAGAAAATTTAAGAAATGCGACAAAATGTCAAAAAAAAAACTTTCTCTCGAAGCAAACAACAAGTAGTAACTACATACAATGTGTTTTGGGAATGTTTTTAGATCTTACGTACATATATCGGCACTTTTGCACGTTTCAGTGGCCGTATGTATACTCAATATAAATGTCATTTCCAATTGCCCTCTCTGAGAAGTAGAGCGCATTAAGTGCGCTTGAGTATTTCATTGCAGCAGAGTGGTTTGTTTTTTGACAATTTACGATCTTGCGCCATTGAGTTATGGAGTGCGCAATTTTTTTCATTTTCTATCGCTTCGTGAACCGAACCAGTTCAGTTTCGAAACAAAGAATAGTTAAATTTCCATCAGTTTCATTGATTGAGGGTTTGCTAGGTTCTACCTTTCCTTGAAAAGCTGCCTTCAAAGTTATGCAAATATGTATTTAATTTTACTCCTACCTTAACTCTTTTGCAATTTTTATATTTGTGAAAAGTTGAAGGTCTTTTTGTGGTTAACATTTTTCCACTAGGATTTACAAAAATTTCCATATATACCTGTAGACATACATACATGCTAAGCATATCCTTGCAGATCACTTTTAACCCCATAAAAATAAGCACTTTCACTTTCAACATAAATCACCGGAAATTGGCAAAAAACCAAGTGACAGCTGTGACGTTTAAGTTGGCATTATGCATGTCTGCCCATCAATCCAACAACTGAATATTTCATAGGTTTCAAAGCACAACAAATATTACCAATAATAATAACAGTAACCAAAATACGGCAAACAACCAGCAATGACGCAATAACAATAACAAATAATTGAAGAAAATAAGGAAGTTAGTGGTGGGGTCAAATGTGGGGGGGAAAATATCCTGCCATTCAGTTGTAAAATGTGCAATGGGGAAGGGGTGGTGAAAAAAGGTAGTTGCTTGTTGCTATGGCGGCTAGGAGATATACAAATGTGTATACATATTTAGTATTTTAAGTGGATTTGTGTTCAAAAACACAAAATGCCGCTTAGTTACAGCGCAGTTTCCATTTTCGGCGTAATTCTGCTGAAGTTCCGGACGGCTTCTTTACCCCCGAATTGCGCGCAACCCTTTTTCATTACTATTTTTGTTTCTGTTTATGTTTCTTTTCCTATAGGTGCTACTATTTCAAATTTTCGTTTGTTTTCCTCGCTGCCCGTCTGTCCCAAATTGACAGCCATGGTGACATCGGGTTAATGTTTTATCGGGCATTAAAACGCTTCAGCGTCAGCCAGCAGTCACTAGCCAGCCAGCACGGCTGTTTTTTAGCCATGCGGAAATACTCCATGGAACTTTGCTGGCCATTGCTGGAGCTACTACATACTACGAGAATAATAATATCCTTTCTCGCCATTATGTAATTCCTGCCCCGACGGCAACTAAATATAGTCGCTTTGCATTCGAAATGCCAGCAACGTGACTGACTTACTGACTGACAGCAAACGACAAAAATTAATTATTTAAATGCCAGCACCAGCGGCGGGCACAAAATGAGTATGAAAAAATAAATAAAATAAAAACAGCAACAACAAAAAGCCTGTGAACATAGCACCGGGGAATAAAAGTAAAGGCAATGATGGTGCTCCTATGAAGTGTCAGCTATCGAGTACTTACATATGTAGTGCGAGTAGCATATTTTGTCCATGGGAAGAAGTTGATTTTAGAATTTTTGGTCGCTGCTGCGCTTGAAAAAGTTTCAAATTTTCGCCGATTTAAAAATAGCAATAATTTTTGTACTCCTTTGCGCTTTTACTCTGCTCTGATATCTATTTCATTTTTGCTTTCCTTTCTCTCTATGTACTTTCAGATGACTATTTTCATTGAGAATACCTCGGTGGCGAAGCGGCTGAATGCTAGTCAAGCCTTTGATGACACGTGGAACACCGCCTCCGATTTGGAGAATGAATTAGAAGTGAGTGGAAAATGCATTTACATACATATTTACTTACTTTGCATTGATATTTTAAAAATGTATACACAAAAGTAGTTTGTTAGCGGCTCAGTGGTGTGTGTAGCTGTTTGAATGGGCTACAAGACTTTTTGTTGAATGAATTCCTTAATGAATATTTTTATTAAAATTTCAATTGGATTTTCAATGCGTCGAGTTATAATTTCATACAAAATTTTAAGTCATTTCAATAACAAAGCTTTATTTAGTGCTTTGAACTGCCTCTTAATAGGATTTATAGTTATTTGGTATAGGTATTTGTCATTCATGCCTATTACGGTATCCAACGGATGACATTCCAGAATGTAATCCTTCGAACTCGCCTGTTTTGATGGTGTGTTCGAAAGACTTTTGTTATTCTAGCACAAAAGTCTTAGAAAACACCTCTCTCATTCACCACTCGTGGAGAAAAGCTATTTTGCAAGAAAGCACCAAATTTGACAAGGGATGACGGAAAATCGTTCCACAATACATCGCACTTGTATATTATTTAGCTCGTGTCGCTCTGGCAGTCGCAATGGTCGAGTGGGCAAAGGCGTGTCATTCGAAAGATCCGAGTTCGAGTCTCAGACAGCGGATTTAGAAAAAGTGAAGATTTGCATTAAACAATTTTAAATTTTCTCCATGAGAAGAGAATTATATAAAGAAATTTTGAAAAATTTCAGATACAATTACAATATAAAGTACAAATGACCCGTTTTAATAAACCTTCCCGATTTTCCTGCCTTCAGTAGATCAATAAATCACCAACCTACCCTTTACTGCAACAACAGCGCACAAGCTCTTCAAAAACCACGGCAACACCACCCTAACTACCTGTTCAATTGCAACCTTTGCGGACATTTGTACAATATATTGTACAAGACACTTACAACCTTTCAGTGTAAATGTAAAATATATTGTACATTTTTTTGAGCACTCGGGAAAAATATTTTAAATCATGATAGTTTAATTTTAGCATTTTTAAATGGTGAAATGCTTTTTATATTTCCATACCATGTGCTTTAATTGGCGATTTTACTTGTTTTCCACGTATTTTTTGTACAGTAAATTACCACAACTTGCGTGTCACTGGAATTTTATAAAATGATCTATTCTTAAATTAAATTCTAAATATATTTTTGAAACGTTTTCGATTTTGAAATTGACGTAAACTATTCGGGACATTCCAAACCATCATAAAGTCAAATTTTTTTTCAAAAATAGTAATAAGATTTTTAGTAGCACACTTCCAATGTTACAAAAAATAAATGTACAATATATTGTACAAATGCAGGGAAAGGGTTAATGTTCCGAATAGTAAAGTATAGATAGATAGTAAAGAGCTTTCAAGATGGCTGCCTGAATTGACGATTGTTTTACGAAAGTCTGTGGCGAGTTAAAAGACAGTTGCCGAAATTTGCCTGTTAGCATCAGCCTGGCTATCACTAAAATCTAAAAATACAGACAGCTTAACCGTTAGTATGCGCTCCAAGTCTGTATACACCTTCATAATAGCGGCTTCGGCCTGGAGGACTGCGAAGATGACAACGCTAGCAGGCGGTGTGCAGTAACTTTCTTCACTCTTATGCTTAGAATTTTCTTGAAAATTTTTCTAAACCGATTTTTGCTGCCCGGAAGAAAGCGAACTTAGCGGGCCTTCCAAGCACTGGCTGAAAGGGGAACACCACCCATCACAGCATCATCTTTAGGATATTCCTTGATGCAGAAGAACTCACCGATGTCGATGAGTTTGATCTCTGACTATCTGGAATCGCAGGCTCAAACGACCGAAAAAGGATTTTAAAAGTGGACAATTAAAAAAAAAAAGTTATTTGATGATTTTTAGGTGCCCCATAGAGGAGCAGGCTTTAAGTACACATCGAAGTACTAAATTTTAGTAAGTTTTTTTAAATAATTTTTCATTAAAGACCACAAAAAAAGCCTCGCACGGCTACGCCACTGCAGCTGCCTCAATCAATGTACATACATATGTACGTAGTACCACACCCGAGCCGTGTAACATTTATGTATCATTTAGTATAGGAAGCCTATTTTCGGGCGCTTCCGCATTTATTTTCGTTTTCTTTGTTTTTTTCCCCCACTTCCTTTTTTGTTTTGGTTGTTGTCTTTCTTTCTTATTAATTTAGTGCATGTTGCAGCAAAAGCGTGGCAAAAGCAGTAGCAGCAGCAGCAGCATCGGTGGCATCTCATCGGCGACGTTGTCGTCCGGCAGCAAAGATGGCCAATGGTCTGGTTGGTCGGAATGGTCGACCTGTTCACGTACCTGCGATGGCGGCATTATGCAACAAATACGCCGCTGCTTCAACACAAATGGTTGCAAAGGCGAAAGTGTACGCTATCGCATTTGCAACATGCAGCCATGTCCGGAGCAACAAGACTTTCGTGCGCATCAGTGCGCCGCCTACAATGATGTGCCCTACGATGGTACGCTCTACACGTGGACGCCACACTACGACTATGTGGAACCATGCGCATTAACATGCAGGTGAGTGGAAGACAAATACAAACACCAACAACTACACAAACACAAACACAAACAAACAAGAGCGGCAAACGTTTACCATGACCATCCGCAAGGATGCCAACCTACATTCATGTCCTTTGCAGTAGTGATGTCATGTGTGAGCGCATGTTTTTTTTTTTTTTGCCTTATTTTCATTGAAATCGAATGTCAGTTACTTTTAATTTATGATCACGAGCGTAGTAAAACCTTCGTGCAAATGTGCATTCTCCGCTTGGTTTGGAAAATAGTGCACACACAAAAGCAACCCAATTTATGGCATTCGCACGATCCATAGATCATAGAATGAGAAGTTGTTGGGAAATTGCGGCGGGAAGGAAGCGGCGTTTTGGGTTGCCATGACATTTTCGCTAAACGTGAAGCTTTGAATGGTTGAATGACCTTTTGAACCGCATTCAGGTTTTTCTTTATGATTTAATGTCGAATCGATGGAATTATTGTTGGAAAAAAAAGCAATTGCGTACTTAGTTCAAAATCTTATTTATTTTTTGAGTATCCGAATAGCAAAATAAATGGATATTAACCCGCTATACGAATAATAAAATATAATGGATATTAGGCGGACATCCCGTGTTTATTCGTATACACAAATATCCGAACAGATATCCCGCTGCCTTTCGCTTTTTTTATGTATAGTATTCCCGCTGACAAAGAAGGCAATTTGCTCATACTTTGTCAAAGGTAAGCAGATCAAAGCCCTAATAACAGATTGGCTTTCTGAATGAATTTGTATCTAGTGTGTTTTTCATAGTTTCAGTATCTTATCTAGGGCTAAAAAGGAAAGAAAGCTCCTCACAGAAGCCACCTATTTATACCAGCCCTGCCGTCAAGCTTCGACCAGTCGGTAAAATTGTTTGGCCTCAGTGTGCAGTGAATGTGGCATCCAATGCGATCTAATCAAGTTTTCTCACAATCTTGTCACATAACTTCGAATTATGATCGACATTCGCTAAAATTTTCCAAAAAATACTAATTAATGTCACTCAACTACGTATAAAACCACTTCTACAAATATTACATGCCATCCCTAATTCACAGACTTTTTCAACAACAAATTTTTCTTTTACTGCTAACTTTTTACTCTTTCCTTTTTCAGAGGCCGCCCAGCGCACTTACATTTAGGCGACAGCGCCTCATCCGAGACCGAAGGCGTTGAAGATCCCGAACACTATGACGATCATGTGATCGTACAGCTGTCGGCGCGCGTTCAAGATGGCACACGCTGTCGAACGGGTAGTCTCGATATGTGCATACAGGGCAAATGTCAGGTGAGTGAAAAGCGAACGAAAATCTGCACACACAAAAAAAGAAAAATACAAAATGATTGCCACGCTTTAAGTCATGAAAAGTGAAGAATCAAAATAGCGTGTGAAAGGAGTGAAGTTATAAATTAAAAAAAGTACTTCGAAACGCGAGCGAAACAAAAGCTGGCGGTATAATGTTACAAACGCTCGGTGAGCATAGTGAAGGTAGTGGGTAAGTTATTGACAACGAAGGCAACGGTAATGGCACCGACAATGACGTGATTGTGTGAAATTTATTATGCCGCGTTTTGCTGCTACTATTTGCTTTTGCGGTTGGGAGTTTTTTCGTTGTTTATTTTTGACTGCAGTGCCGCTTTTTCGTTTATCTATAACGAAGTAACTGAATTTCGGTGAAGTGATGGGTTTCCACTAGAACATGTTTAGGCACAGTTGTAAATGTGGTAACTTAATATAAGACAACTAAGTTTTAACTAAAGTTAGAAGCTTAGGCATGATTTTGTTGCTAGTGATTATGTATATGATTTTTTGTTTTGACTGCTATATATTTGTTTTTTTTTTGTTCTTTATATATAATTTTTGCTTTGTTGTTTTCTTCTTCTGTTTTTACTCACCTTTTTCCCCCTAATTCACTCTCAAATAAGTTCGCGTGGAGTTGCCTAGACTAAGTTGAAGACAGACGGACAGAGAAACACGAGTACTTCAATTCCGAGTTTTTTTTTCATTTTCATTGTTAACGAAATAGGGTTTTGCTTATTGGTGGGCAAATAAATAAATCATCTCCTCCAACCACTAGTATTCCCAGCTCTACAAATGGTGCACTGTCTGACGAAAAAAGATGCACTCTAGCAATGCTTTTAACCTCACTTATGTATCTACATTAGGATGCATCACCTAAAAAAGTTGCAGTTTTTCTATCGAAATTATAAAATGTATTATATTTTAAGACTTTCGCAAAAATCTTCCGCAAAATGTTAAGATTTATGTGAGTTTGACCGATTCGAAAACACATCCAAAAATTGTATTATTTTGTTTCCGTTTATAAAATTTTTAAACATTTTTATTCAGACCGTTTAAACATCAACTCTTCTACGAGTATCATGACTTTTTGGAAATAAAAAAAAAAACATTTTTAAAAATATCATAATTTTTGGGAGGTATTTTCAAATAGGTCGGGCTCAAGTAAATCTTTATACTTTACCGAAAAATTTTAACCGAAGTCTAGAAATATAATAAATTTCCGATAAACAAAAAAACAATACCGTGTTTTGTGTATGGAGTGATACATCCTAAGTACATATAAACGCTTTGCATGTGTGTAAGCGTTTGAGTATCCTTCAATTGGCAATAAAGTACTCTATGCCGACATTCATCGCTCTTCATGTTCACTGTCTCATATCGTTTGGCACATTCGGTGCTTAAAGCTAGTCTCAACAAGGCAAATGTAACCTCAATAAAAAGAATAAATAGTGAGTAGATATGTATGTAAGCAAGCGTCCATAAAGAAAGTCTCCGTTTAATGCTGGAGTTACACTAGACATTGAAATGACAAAATAAATTTTCATATAAAAAATTATATAAGCACACATTTAATAGCTACTATTATTAATGTATATTATTTAATGTTATGTTAGTATATGTTATGTATGTATGTTTAATGCTCTACACATGTTATGCTTTGTTATGTAGCGTTCTGGGTTGCTGTGCTATGTGTTGTTGTGCTAAATTATGTTATCTTTTTTTATGTTATACTTATGCTAATTTGTGTATTTTTTTACCCCTTGGTCAGTGGGGACTTTAACCCACCAAAATGACGCCGATTTTCAACGCTTAGCCGTCCCGGGGTCATTGACTGGTATTACTTCAGGAGGCTGTCGAGAGGACGAAGCTCAGGCGTCACCTTAGTTATGTTATTTTATGCTTTATTTTTTTTACGTTACGTTATGTTACATTATGATGTTAAGTTATGTTATGTCAGGTTATGTTATGTTATGCCGTGCAGAGTTTTAAGTAATGATTTTTTTTTTTTTGAATTTCACTGCGTTTATTTTTGTTTAAGAAAATTTTTCTCTAGGTTATTGCTTTATTTTCTTTTAATTTATTTTATTTCATTTCATTTCATTCTATTTATCTCATTGCGTTTTATTTGTGTTGCCATAGCGTCCTTCCATTACCACATATTTCACTCCCTCAACCAAATATGTATCTCATACCCACAAATTATCACCCTTAATTTGCTGTAATAAACGCCAATATGTTATACGGTTCGTTGAATGGCAAGCGACTCAAAGGATCTCAATTCAAGTGGGCTGCAGTAAAGTTCCACTGCCAGAGATGTTTTCCGCCCTCACTTCACATATGTATGTACGTATGCAGCCCCTGTTATTTACTCAAACAAATAAATTTAAAATATCGAAATTTGCACCCAAACAAGAAATCAACAAAAATAAATCAAATAAAAAGATATCAATGTCGTATATGTAGTATTTTCCCTTTCCTCAGTGTTTATGTTTCCGACTAACACGTAAGTGAATAAGTAATGTTTGGAGTTTACATACAGGTTTGCATTTAAACTCCCCACAGATTTAAACTCGCATCTCATTTGAATGGGAAGATGAATGGAGGCTGCGAATTCGGTGCAAAATTTTCCATGTTAAATTTCTTTGGCTCATTTTTATTGTACTCGTTTGTTATGGTGCGAGTAGATTTTATCTTTTGCTTTGAAACTCTGCTCCTAAATTATTCACGCAGATTTTTTGCTTTTCTCATTTTTCACTTTCTCATTTTATTTAATTTGGGGTTCCCCTGGTTCTTGGCAAGTGTTATTGAAACATTTCGTATGCTTTATTTTCATGGGCCCTATTAAATTCCATGCCACATTTTTATTCGTACTTGAAATAGGAGTACATATATTTTTTGTATTTTTAAATATACATACATATGTAAATATATGTAATGTAGTGAATGTCAAAAGCTAAATTGAGTAGAAATAGCGAGTAAATAAAATTGCGGGAAAATATTTAAAAAACTAAAAGTTAAGTTTATTTATGTAAGCTAGTTGTGGTCACATCACTCGCCATTTGCCTTGAAGAAATGAGAGCTGAGTTTCTTAGCAAAATACTCCGGGGAATAGATTTTTTATTTAGAACTTTCCCGCTGCCTCTCCCAGAACTGAAGAATTTTTGTCTACCTTTTCTGTCTGTATGTTTGTACGCGCATAACTCGAAAACGAATGCAGGTAATTAAATGCAGTTTTAACCGAGGTATTAGTAGAGGTATAACTTTAAATATAGAATGAAAAATATTAGAGAGTTGCCACCTATTTGAAAATTTATGTTTAAGTAAATTGGTATGATAAAGTAAATATTACAATGCGGATGTCAAAAGAAAGAGACAGGCGAAAATACATTTGTGGAAGGTTGCCACCTGTTTGAAATTATAATATAATTTAATTGATAAGATAAATTAAATATTGCAATATAGGTATCAAATTGCAGAAGTTTAGGAGAGTTTGCTGCCGAAAATATTTTGAGGAGCGTTGCGACCTGTTTGAAAAATTGTATTCAAATAAATTGATAAAATAAATTAAATATTACAATACGGGTCACAAAGTATACAAAAATACTTGAAGCACACCGGGTTGCTAGTTTTATTTATAATAAATAAATTTTTGGAGGTATATATTTTCAAATGGGAAAATCTCACGTAAAATTTCTAAAAATAGAATATATGGAAAACAATATCAATTTTTTTTTTTTTGTATGGAGAGAAATGCATGTATGTATATGTACATTAAATTAATATATTTTTTTTTCCTTTTTTCTCTTTCCTTTTCAGCGCGTTGGCTGTGATTTGAAAATCGGTTCAACGAAAAAGATCGACAGTTGTGGCGTCTGCGGTGGCGACAGCAGCACCTGTTCGCAGCCACTCTACTATTGGGAGTCAGCACCAACAAGCCAGTGTTCAGTTACTTGTGGTGGAGGTAAGTGTAAATGTTGTCATGCCAATAAAATCAAAAACTCTTACGTAGCTATGCACACATAAACACCTGCGTCAGCGGAAACTTTTTGTTGCACATACATATACATATGTATGTATACATATCCATCACATTCACAAACCCAATCACAAATAATACAGCCCCTTGAAATAACAGTACCAAACACAGTCGCTTTTGTGTCAAAGAGATGATGTTTAACAAAATAGCGTAAATAAACAGACCAACAAATTTGAATGTGCCACAATATTGCGATATTGTAGCAAAGGCGCGAGTTGGCGCGACGGAAAACAGCAGGCAGGTAACGCAGCAGCAGGGCAAATTTAGTGTTCGAAGCCTGGCGAAGGTGATCGCTATTTTTGGCTGCCTTTGCCAATTTTGCTTTGTTGTTTACAATACTGGCATCGGCATGTCTCCCCTTACGCTTCGCATGGAAATTCTTCATACATATACATATACATAACGCTTGACAAAATCGTGACATTACAAATGGCACTCCAGGTGACACGCTTAGCTTACTCCTGCTTGCTTAGCTCGCAACTCTTCGGCTGCTCCTGTCGATTCATGACTTGCGTGCCGCAGTTCACTTTGTAATCAGTACGATTTGCTACTCCACCCACCACCACCACCACCTGCTTGCCCGCCTGCCAACCAAACATCGCTGATAAAAGTTCGAATGCAAATTTCGCATGTCAAATTCATTTCGTGTTTCCTTGCCAAGTGTGTAGGCGAACCCACCTGTCATGTCGCGCCATTTACTCCTCCCCCCGGATGCATACATTTCACTTGCTTAACTGCACAAAACTTATGACACCGCGTCCATTTGTTTTGAGTAACAAATCGCTGTGAAATTTCAAGTACGCGTTCACTCAACTTCTATGCAGGTATCGGTGGAAGATGGAAGGCGCCATCATCAGCAAATGCGCGCTGTCGTATACTTAGTAGGCGTACTAAGCTGCTGGTAAGATTGCTGCTTGATATGGTGGATTTTATGGCGCGTAGAGAGTGTGTGTTTTGGGAGTGGAGAAAAGGGAAGTGGGCTGTGCGGTTTTGTTTGCAATATATCACGTAAATCTATTTTGACTGCGATCTCAATCGCTGTATTGACTATCTATTTGCTTTGTAATTGAGTGGAAGCGACTGAATGGCAATTCGAGTATCAAATAATCTTATCACGTGGGCGATTTCGTTAAAAAATTGGGCACTAGGATTTCATCGGTGAATCGTGATTCTAAATGAGAACAAATATTTAAACAAGCGAATTTATTTAGAAAAAATCCATTGCTATCTTATAAAGCCACATCTAAAATAAAATACTCGTGCATTTAAATATTGTATTTCCGTATCCGAGTGTTTAAAAGCGCACTACCAAGTTGAGGTTCCTCCATTTCTACCAATACAAAAAGGTACTTTAAAGCGCACTTAGCAGATATGTGATGGCCAAATATTATGGATTCCTACATTTTATGTGACCACACCAAGATAAAGAAATAGCGTTCTAGTCGATTTCGATAAAGCATCGAAAAAAGTCTCTGTGTATTTCTAAAGCCACATTAAATAGTCTAAGATCCGGATTTAATCTATTTACTGTCAAATTTAAAGTGTTAGCAAATATTTCGCGAGCGAATTGGATGAAAAAGTCCTGGCCAGGATATTTTTAATTAAATATTCAAAAGTTGTTATTTTTTTTTTAGTTTTGCACTCATTTGTTTAATGAAAAAATTATATGCCAATCGAAAGTATTAAGTCGATAGAATGTGAAAACATTGATTTAAAATAGATTAAATTCATTAAACAGTTGGGTGAAGGTCGTGCCCTATTTAGATCTTCTACTAAAATCAGCACCAAAAAATTTACGGACAGTGCTGTATTGATATCAATAAACTTACCGATAATAGAGCGATAAAGTTATCGACAAATACAAACATAAGAGCTTTCGATAAATATATTACCAAACTATCGATAAATTTATCGATGTATAGTTAAAATCGGCAAAACTAACTAAAACGAGTAGATATTGGTGTGCATCTTTTTAAAGGCCTTTTTTCTGAATTACGCATCGAACAATTTATCAGCGTTTTCATCGATACATATCAAGTTCTAACTGTCACAAAAACGTGAGCGACATTTTTTTCAAAATTGTCTTTTTTTATGCAGATATTTTCCTAGAGCATCTATGTAGATGCATTTCTACATCAAAAAAAAAAAAATTTCTTTTAAATATCGCTTACATCTTTTTGCCGATTAGGGCTCGATATGATCATCAATTATTATAGCTTATAGATACCGTTATCGAAAATTTTTTATACCAATATATATATATATACTTATGATTGGGCCGTATGAACCATAGCTACGGTGACCATATTAACCAACGTAAAATAAAGCACATTTTTTTTTCAAAATGATTTGGAATACGTACATACAACTTGTATGATAAAAATACCTTACCCATATCGTAATTTAAATCAAATATTTACCAGTTAATAATATTATATAATTGCACAAGTTTCCCTGCTGTAGCGAAAAAGTAAGCCAAATCTTTTTCAAGGACCACGCCATCCTTTGATTCCAAAATGCGTTTACCATAATACATACTGCACGAAGCCAGCACACAGTGGTTCAAAATTGGATTTTATTATTCATAATCCACCGGAGCCTTCATTTCTCAACCTATTTTTACTAAAAACGAAAAAAAAATTTATATATTTTGGTGAACATTTTTTTTATAACATTTCAAATTTTTTTTGTTTATTTTGTTTTGGGAGAATCATACCATTGTTTTCAACTAGTTTTTGTTATGTAACATTTATTAACTGAAACAGGAGAATACATTTTTTCAAAATTCCTACTTTTTCTGCATTTTGCACTAAAAAATTTAATAAAATCAAATAAAAATTCAGAAATGAGACTCAATTGGGCTCTTGCAAATATTATAATCTTTCATAAAAAAAATAAAAATTAATCAAATTAAATGAAAAATGAAGGCTCCAGTGAATTACGAACACTAAATGCCTGTTTTGAACCTCTGTGCAGCAGGGGGTTTATCTCCGAGCCATTTTATACCAGACAAGGTGACTCCCTTTCATGTGATTTCTTTAATCTGATGTTGAAGAAGGCCGCTGAACTGAACCGCTGAGGCACAATACTTTAAAAGAGTGTGGAATTGCTGGCGTATGACTACGACATCAACATTATCGGAAGAAACAACGGCTACGTCTGTACTGTCTACTCGGGATTAGATAGAGAAGCAAAGCGAATGGGTCTGGTGGTAAACTTCGACAAAAAGGAGTAACTCCTGTCATCAGAAAAACAGTCAAAGCATAAGCGTCTTGACACCCCGTCAATGTTGACAGTTACAAGTTTGAAAGACGTAGACGACTTCGATTATTTTGGAACCAGCAGTAACACCAATAATAATGTCAGCCTTGGAATCCAACGGAGAACCACTCTTACTATCGAGTGCTACTTTGGACTGAGTAAGAAACTGAGAAGTAAAGTCCGCTCTCGTCGTACAAAAACCACACTCTATAAGTCACTCAGCATGTTTGCTCTGGTGTATGGCGCGGAGGCATGGACAATAAAAACATGTGATGAAGCAGCTCTTGGAGTTTTCGGGAGAAAAATTCTGCTTGAGACTTACGGACGATTTAACGATGAGCTATATGAGCTTTATGTACAACGATATAGACATAAGTATTGTATTGAATTAAAATAGTGCTACGCTGGCTCGGTCATATCGTACGAATGGACAGAAAGCCTCCAATTCTGAAAGTATTTAGCGCGGGTCGCGATGCCAGTAACAGGGGAACAGGAAGACCTCATAATTGGTGGCGTATAATTGTGTTAGGCACTATAGTCTATTATTTTTAGTGTAGCTTCGATCCTTTCAAATTTGTTCTATATTAGATTGTGTAGTTGTTTTCTTAAGCTTATGAGCGGCATATCTATTTACCTTATACGAACATTTCTTTACCAAACTGAAATGGATTAGGCTTTGAGATGTTTTTCAAAACCCGTAGTAGTTAATTAGCCTACTGTATGGCTACGGCCTAGGGAAATGGAAGAATATAGTGTTGGTGACAGCTATAAAGTTACAAGCCTTTAATTACCACTACACATGGTTAAAAAAAAAACTTTCCTACACGATTATCCACAACTAGCGCTTCAAATAAAAAATGCTAATCTTTCAAATAAATTATTCAAATATCCTTTCGAGCGTTCTAATTTTTATTGACATTCAAAGCATTTGGAAATAATTATAATAAATTACTGGTTAGATGATAATTGTCACAAACGTCATTAAACACAAATTTATATATCAAGATATTATAAGTATGTGCTTGCACAAATATTTATAAACGCGTATGCATCAATTAATGAGAAAATTGACAGGCTGTCCAAAACACAGTTAACAACAGTTTGCCATTTACTTTATTAGATTTTGAGTACATAGTATAGGGACAGCAACTGTTAATCGATTGTAAGTTGTCTGTAATTGTTTTTCACCACACAAAATCAATCATTTCCCCTGCCAAGGCACTACATATACATACATACTAGTATGTTGATAAATCTCTTGTGATGGAACTTCTTGTTACTTGGTTTTGTTTTAATTTCCATTTTCGATTTGTTGAAAATGAAAAAAACTACTTTTGAATATTTATGTCCATTGTTTTCTATATTGTTTCTAGCAGCAATATGTACAGTAAAAATGATACAACAAGGTACAAAAAATACTTATATGGAAAAAAAAACAAAACTTAGTTACACAAAGCCTTAATTTTTGCCACTTTACAAAAATAAGTTACTTGGTTCTCTGCTTTCACAGGAGAAATGTGATTATAGGTTGCTCATACGCCACCGGCTACGGGCAATGGGCAACTAAAAGACTTATGCAGCTGTTGTGGGCAGAATATTTGAGTTTGTCAACAAGACGAAATCGATCCAAATTAATTGTAGGGAGACCCTGCAGGCTTTGATGG